CCCCCTGCCTTCTTTATATCATACTTTCTCAGCTGTTTCATCATATCATTCCATGGACATTCCATTTGCTGGTTTGGGGGGAAAACTGTTGCTCTTTGAGTATCTATTTTGTAAATTTCCAGGACTCTTTTCTTACTGCTGATTGTTTTTAGATGATTCTCCTAGGTTTCATGCAAGGAAAGATCGTTTTTTGTCTCACTGCCAAGAGCTATACCTTGTTTTGTCTCCATGGTTTTTTTGTTTGCTTTTGCTTGAGCTTCCAGAAAAACAACAAATGACAGTGGTCGCCCATATCCTGGTTTAGATTCTGACTTGAAAGAGACAAGGTCTGGTGTTTTATTGTTAAGTATGATGTTGACTGTTGATCTGAGATTCTTTGATCATCCATTCCTTAATTCATTACATATTTATTGGTCCCCATCCAAGTGCATTGGGTTTGGCAATATGTAGGGCACTGAGTGCCTTGGGGAATGCAGTTTCCATGGCATGGTGCCAGCAGAAGCCAAATTGCAGTGGTTTGCAGAGAGGCATACGATGGAAACCTTCTTTAACACATGCCAAGAGTTTTCATCAGATATGGATGCTGCGTTATTTTTTATTTTTATTGAAGTACAGTTGTTTACAATGTTATGTTAATTTCTGCTATACAAAAAAGTGATTCAGTTATATATACTTTTTTAATATGAATTCTTTTTTAATGCTCTTTCAGCATTTATTAAATGATTTTTTTCTCATTTGACCTATAGGGATGACTGAACATATTAATATGCTTTCATTCATTTATTCAAGAAATATTTAAGAATTTACTATAAGCCAGGCACTCTTCTATTATTGTGACAATTTGTGATTTTGACAAAATGTAAGCTGTTGTGATATCTTTGCTATCAGTTTGTAAATATTCAGTGGTTTTTACAATACTAGGATAATTTCTACTTCACTGTGGTGTGTTATTCTTTACATTTTAATCACTAAGTCAAAGACCTTACTATTAATAATTCAAAGGATGCAAAATAATACAAAGACAGAAAGTTCTCATCCAGTTTTCCAGAATCCCAAATGATATTCCCTATTGATAGATATTTCTGGACCTTTTTCTTGAGATTTCTTAAAAAACTGTTCTCCAGTTTTAGTAAACTTTGAAAAAAAATCATTTGCAAGCATTTTATGGAGGATTTTCACATTGGTATTCATGGCTGAGGTACAGATGTCACAGTAGGAGAGCCACACCTGGCTCCACATCAGGCTGGCATTTCCTGCTAAATGGCACTTTGTTGCAGACCTGACCCATCTGTTCTGTCTGGGCAACATGGCATTCCCCAACACCCTCCACCCCATCCCCTCCTCTGGGCATGCAGGGAGCCATGCAGCAGTAGCTGAGATTCATTTGTTCAAAAGGTATTTACTCAACACTTATCTAACTCCATGGAACTCACATTCCAGGCACGGCAAATAATAAACAAAATATATCAAATGTACAGGATGTTAGATGGTGATAATAAGTATGGAGAGAAAGCACAGAAAAGGGGTGGGAAACGTTATCGGGAGAGTTTTGTTTGTTATTCCGTTGCTCAATCATGTCCAAGTCTTTGCGACCCTGTGGACTGTAGCCCACCAGGCTTCTCTGTCCATAGGGATTCTCCAGGCAAGAATACTGGAGTGGGTTGAAATTTCCTTCTCCAGGGGATCTTCCTGGCCAGGGATCAAACCCAGGTCTCCTGTATTGGCAGGCAGATTCTTTACCACTGAGCCACCTAGAAAGCCCTATTGGGAGAGAGGGAACCATAATATTGTGGGAGGCTGAGAGTCTTTGCTGAGAGTTCAGACAGCAGTGGAGAATGGATGATCCACAGCTACTTACCACAGTATCCATGAATCCCCAGAACACCATGTTGAGCAAGAGAAGCAAGGCAATAAGAAGTGTGTTCTGTAGGATTCCGCTTACACAGAGCACAAAACCAGGAAGAGTGACCTGTGACATCAAAGTCAGGTTAGCAGTTATTGCAGAGGTGGCGGAGTGTCTAGAAAGAGACACAGTGGGAATTCTGTTCGTGGTCCGTTTCTTAATCCAGGTGCTCTTAACACTCATGTGTTCAGTCTCTCAAAATTCATCAGACTGAACATTTGTAATTGTGTGCCCTTTCTATACAAATATTACATGGTAACAGTTTCATTATTTTTTTTAATTCAAATTTAGCTATCTCATCGGTGGATGGTACAACAAGCAGAAGACCCCTCCATGAAATCTGTTGCCTTGTCTTTCCCCCCAATATCTGGCACATAAAGGGGTTCACTACATGTGTATGTTTGAATGAATGAGTGAATCAGTAAACAAACGCATCTCTATAACCTCTAACTGGTTTTGTACCTGCTTCCCTTAAGCTAATCATTAGGGAAAACTGAAGCAATAGTTATTTTTGTTGTCATTTTTGTGTTTCATTATTATTTTTATTTTTTAGGTTATATTTATTTATTGAATTATAGTTGGTTTACAGTCTTGTGTTAGTTTCAACAAAGCGATTCAGTTAGATGTACATATATATCTATTTTTTCAGAGTCTTTTCCCTTGTAGGTTATTATAAAATGTTAATATTAAATTTAGTTTCTCTGTGCTATATAGTAGGCCTTTGTTTATCTAATATATGATAGTGTATACATGCTAATCCCAAACTCCCGATTTATCCCTCCCCACTTTCCCCTTTGGTAACCATAATTTGTGCTCTATGTCTGTAGGTCTATTTCTGTTTTGTGAATAAGGCCATTTGTGTCATATTTGAGATTCCACATATGAATGATATCATATGCTATTTATCTTTTTCTTTCTGACGTACTTCACTTCGTGTGATACTCTTTAGGTCCATTCACGTTGCTGCAAATGGCATTATTTTATTCTTTTGTGGCTAATATTCTGTTGTATATATGCACTATATCATCTTTATTCATTGATCTGTCGATGGACATTTAGATTGTTTCCATGTCCTGGCTATTGTAAAACAGTACTGCAATGAACAATGGGGTACATGTATCTTTTTGAATTATGGTTTTCTCCAGATATATACCCAGGAGTGGGCATGTATTTTTTAAATTCTTTATGTCTCCCTTCTGCTTATATGAGAATAATAAAATTCATTCAGCAGACATTCAAATACTTTTAGGATTTAGAGTCAGGAGATCAAGTAAAATGAGGACAAAAAGTTGTCCGTTGAGTCTGGCAACATGTAGGTTCTTGATGGTGTTGGTGGAAGCAGCTTCACTCTTGTGCATGTAACGGATGCCAGACTGCAGAGGTCTGATGGGAAATGGGATCTGAGGAGCTGGAAACAGTAAATGCTGACACATACTTCAAGTGCTTTAACTCTAAAAGTCAGGAGTGAATTGTGTGTGGTGACAGTTTACTTTTTCAGTGTTTGTGTGTGTGTTTATCATGGAAAATGAGCAAAACCAGAGCATGTTTACATGCTAAAGCAGGAAATCAGCAGCCAGGAGTTGTTCAGTGGCTCAGTCGTGTCTGACTCCTTGTGACCCCACGGACTGCAGCATGTCAGGCTTCCCTGTCCTTCACGACCTCCAAGAGTTTGCTCAAATTCATGTTCATTGAGTCGGTCATACCATCCAACCATCTCATCCTGTCATCCCCTCTCCTGTCCTCAATCTTTCCCAGCACCAGGGTCTTTTTCTAGCCAGGAGTCGTTTCATTCGTTTACTTCTGCATTCAATCTGTCAGTCACCCATGTGGTCCACAACTGCTTATTGGTACCTTTTGTATCAGTTCTTGACAGTAATAAAGAGCAGTGAATAAACTGGACACAATCTCTGCCCTCCTACAGCTTACAGTCTATTAAAGAAGAGACACTGAAGATGTAGGTGACAGAAAGAATGATGCTGGCAGGGGTGTTGAATCAAAATACAATAGGAAGAATTAGCATAGGCAAGAGACAGCCTTACAATGAGACAGTGGTGATATATCTTTTTTCTTTTTTTTTTTTTTACAAAGGGATAAGGCTGAAAAATGGATACAAATGTTGCTAAGAAAAATTACTGGTGAAGCAGCATGGTGCATTCCTTTTAGACAAGAGTGTGGAAAAATACACAAGATCAGGCGAAACCAGGCAGAGGACAGTAGGCTTAAGACAGGCTGTTTGCAGGACCTGTATGCTGGATGAAGCCCTTAGAGATACCTAATTCAGCAGCTGCCCACCTTGATTCACAAATCAAACAGTTGTCAGGGGTGACTCATAAGACCTGTAAATAAGACTGCGTAGATGTCTGCAGAGTCACATCTGACACCAGGATCAGTAAGGCAGCAGAGAAGTTAAAAACCGCATGAAGCTTCCGATGAAAAATCTCGGAGGAAAAGGCCATACTGGAAAGGAGATGCTTTTTTGACAAGTTTTCTCCCAGAAAAGCATACGTATTGATTTTTGTTTTAGTTGAACACGAGCTGACGTCATTGGCCTCCCTGTAGGGCTTTGTATTAAAAAATGATTGTGTAACTCTCAGCTTAATGAGAACCTCACAGGATGGGAGGTGTGGAGAGACCAAGAACAACCAGGGAGCCAACATGTCCCTGTTACCCATCTTTCATGCGATTTCTCACTATTAAAGTGATGAGTTTTTCTTCCTTATGTTCTTTTCCCCCTTCTCCTTCTCTCTCTTTTTATTTTCAAGGTGAGTAATTAAATCCTCAATAAGTGTAACTCTATTACTGTCAAAATATCAAGTTTTCAGATTATTATTTTTTAAAATATTAATAAAACAAACTTTCTCTGTCCTTCCCTTGCATTCGGATAGGCTTTCTTGAGTGGGGAAGAAAGGGATGGAATTAGTTAGCACCCAAAATTGGCCTATGGATGTGTGTCTTATAGGTAAATCTGTATCACTGGCTGTATTTGGGAGGGAGAAAAAAAAACTTCAAAGCAGAGAATCACTAATATGATGCAACCCCTTCATTTCTCAGGTGTGAACACTGAGGCCCAGAGAGGTGATGTGATTTGCCCTAAGCCATGCAGCTAGTGGCAGAGCCAGGCCTAGAAGCCAGGTGTCCTGGCTCCCAAGACATTCCGCTGCCCAAGGAATGGAACAGGTAGTATCGCTCACACTGGGGGCCATGGGTCAGTCTTTTCAGCTCAGAGCTGCCTGGGGTTCCAACCAAGGAAACCAGAGGAAGCATCAGCTCAAAATGCTGACCGCTAAATGACGCAGGGATGAAATCAAAACTGGGTAAGAGACAGAAGGGGAGGTTTGACATGTCACCCTCATGACTCTGAGACAGAGTCCAATGGACCGTGCTCCCAAGGCAGCGGTCATCTTCTCAAGGTGGATCTAGCTGGCTGTATCGTGTCCCTCTTCAAATAGCGAGGTGCTGAGTCACCTTCTGGCCATTCTGACACCTACACTGTCTCCAGTGCAGTTCATAGTGTTAGGAAAATCAGTGGCCCCTTGCAAGGACAGTTGAGGAGTCGGGGGAAAAGAAAGTGAGGAAGACCAGTTAGGAGGCTTTTGTAGGGATACAGGAGGGAGATAATAAGGAAAGGCTGGCTGGTGGGATGGGCTGGAGCAGGGTGACATCACCTGGGTTAGTGGCTGGGAAAACTGGCTAGCAGTGGAAAGGTGGACAAAAATTGAAATGTACGTCAAAATGGGGAGGAAAAGAGTTCTTGCTTTCATATATCATCGGATGTTCTTAAGACTAGCATTGATAAAACCAAAACTACCTATGATGCTATAAGTAAGTTTTATTCTGTGTACTATATATAAACCTGGGTACTGGTCACTGTTAACATGCATTGACCCCTCTGAGGGAGTCTTAAGTCATAGTTTCCTTTTCCTTTATAGTGGTTATTTATGGAGCACCTACTATGTGCCAGGTTCTTTTCTGAGTACATGGCACACATCAAGTCAGCTAAACGTTGAATACGCTTGTTCTCATGGAGCTCATTCAGAGAAAAATGGCTACAGAAGCCAGTCTCTTGGGAAAAACAATAGGAGAAGACAGCTAGGAGAGAAATAGCTAATTGAGATGGTATTGATAAAATAGCCAGAAAGAATATGGTGAGTTTCACTGACTCCCTCAGAGGAAGATTTTTTTTTCAGCTTTACTATTTCCTCTCTGATTTGGATACTTTTTATATCTTTATCTTGCCTAAGCTGCTCTGGTTCTGGTGGTTCAGATGGTAGAGAATATGCCTGGAGTGCAGGAGACCCGGGTTCGATCCCTGGGTCAAGTAGATCCCCCTGGAGAAGAGAATGGCCACCCACTCCAGTATTCTTGCCTGGAGACCACCATGGACAGAGGAGCCTGGTGGGCTACAGTCCATGGGGTCACAAAGAGTCAGACATGACTGAGATACTTTCACTATGACATTAGTACTATGTTTAATAGGAGTGGTAAACTGGGCACCCTTATCTTGTTTTTTGCTCTTAGAGGAAAAGCTTTCAACTTTTCACTCTCTTTTTTTTTTTTAATTTTTATCAGAGTATAGTTGCTTTATAATGTATGTTTGTTCCTACTGAAGAGCAAAGTGAATCAGCTGTCCATGTACATATATCCCCTCTTTTTTGGGTTTCCTTCCGATTTAGGTCACCACAGATCGCCAAGTAGAGTTCTCTGTGCAATACAGTAGGTTCTCAATAGTTATCTGAAAGATTTTTTTCTAGGCAGAGAGAACTGAGATAACAGAGTTGTCTGGATCTGCCCAGATCAGTGACTGTAATCTTGCAACTCCTGACAGCACCAGACACCCAGGAATAAACTGCCCCACAGGAGACACATGGGGATGGGCTCTGAGCCACGGCCAGGTGAGGAGGTTCAGACGTGCAGACAGGACGGAGTGTCTGAAGGAGTGATCCGTTCACGTGGGTAGTCAGACGTCAAGAGACCAGGCAGTTTTGTCCCAGATGATTTCAACACAGGAGCGTGGGGAGCAAGCCATGGGAAGTCTGGGGGCATCTGACATCCGGCTAAGTCAGATAAGGGGTGAGCATCAGTCATGGAACTGAAAGCAGGGCTGTGGTCACTGAGCTGAGATTTGAGGAATATTTCCCACCTCTGGGAGGCGCAAACAACATCCCGAGCAAAGCACTGACCCAAGGACTCAGGCCCAGGGATGGGGAAGGGAGATGCCATCAGAACCAGAGCATGAAGTAGGGACTTGGTCACAGGAGCCCAGTTATTAGCTGGACCCTTCATCAAACCTGGCGTAATAGCCATGAACCTTTAAATCTCTGGGAATTAAGCCTCCATCCCACTGATGCATAGGACCTAGTCTTTAGAGAATGTGTTGTATGTCATATATTAGCTGTAGGATATATTATATGTAAGATGAGGGAAATGGGTACCATCTCCCTTCCCCCACCCCCACCAGGATGGAGGGATAAGGTCATGTCTGTTGCTTCTTCTGTCAACAGTAATCCCCACTAGTGCCTCCTTGGTTGCCTTGGCATTGGATGGTTCCAGAGAGTCCCTTTTCTTGAATTAACCCAAGTACTCACTCCAAGACTCCAAGGATGGATTTCTTAGCAAGACTGCTAGTTAGGGCAGGCACAGGGTCCTTATCTGCAGCTGGCTTAATCTTTGCATGTTTCTTTCAACTCCCACCCCAGCCAGCCCTGTGCTTAGTCTCAGCTCATTCTCCAGTCCACATTCCTTTCCGTTTCCATCTCCCTGGCTTCCAGCTTCCTTGCTTATTCCCTATTTGGAGATTTAACTCTGTCTTCACACGGGTTGGTGCCATCTTTGCCTGCTTCTACATCTTCCTCCAGCTATGCTTCTGTAGTGGACATTATGTTGGTTCTCCAACCCACCCTCATGAGTAGCGGCAACGCAGTTTGGTCCACACACTGCCACAGATACCATGTTAAGGTTGGCTTCCAAACAATCCTTCTCTCTCTGCACCACTCAGCCCAGAATCAAAGTCCCAGGGGTAAGCATCTGTCAGCCCAGGTTCATGACTCCTTGGATCTGGTTCCACAGGTTTCCATGGTGTGGGAGCTGAGAGAGGAGGCAGGTGCCTTCAACTTCCCTCTTGTCAGACCTGATCATGATGAGTAATTCTCTCAGCGGGAGATCTGGTGGTAATCAGAAGGAAGGGATTCTAATCAGTGCTGTCCAATAGAATAATAATGCAAGCCACATATGTAATTTAAAATCTTCAAGTACCACATTGAAAAAGGCAGAAACAGATGGAATTAATTTTAATATTTTATTTAAGCAATATTTCCCAAATATCATTGTGTCGACATGTAATCAAAATATAAAAAATTATTGGTGAGATATGTTCCTTTTTAAAAGTTTTGTTCTGTTGAAGTATAGTTGATTTACAACGTTGTGTTTCTGATATGAAACAAAGTGATTCAGTTGTCATATGTACATTTTTTTCATTATGGCTTATCATAGGGTGCTAAATATAGTTCCCTGTGCTATATGGTAGGACTTTGTTGTTTATCCAGAAATGTTCCTTTTTATGTTGTTTTAAGTCTTTGGAATTCAGGGTGTATTTTACTCTCACAACACAGCTCATCCAGATGCTACATTTTTATTGGAAATGTTTGATCTATGTTTATATTTGGGGCTTTCATGGTGGCTCAGCTAGTAAAGAATTTGCCTTCCAATGCAGGAGACGTGGGTTCAATCCCTAGGTTGGAAAGATCCCCTGGAGAAGGAAATGGCAACCCATGCCAGTATTCTTGCCTGGAAAATCCCATGGACAGAGAGGATCCTGGCAATACAGTCCATGGGGTAGCAAAATTGTTGGACACAATTTAGTGACTAAACAACAACAACAGCATATTTATATTTACAGCTGAAAAAAAAAAACAACTAGAAACACATTCCCAAGTTCTTCCAGACCTGCTTAAAAGTTATCCAATTACTGAATCAAGTACCAAAAATCATTTGCCTTTAAAATTCACCTCCACATTGACAAGACAAATAGATCATTATTAGAATTGTTTGAAGCAAAAGCTTATCAGTTTCAAAGTTATTTTTGTCCAAGTTATGTTAATACATTGTCTCTTGTGTCAACTCAGTAATATTAAGATGGAATGTAAAGGAGTATTGCACAAATTGCACAGTAATTCTAAATTTATTCTTCCAATTTTGGTAGGTTTTGCAGATAATTGACATAATACTGCTTATCATTTAAAATATTGTATATGTTGATTCATATCATTAAAAGGTATAAAAATTATTGTTGATTTACATTATAAAAAGCTTCCATTTTAGTGCAAACCCTTGTACTTTTCTAACTGGGTCACAAGGAAGCTTTTTCTCTTTCCTTAGAGCTTCAGTGCATCTCATTCATACCCACTGTGATATCAGTAAGAAAACTTAAATCTCATTGCCATTTTTTATCTTTGATTCCTAAGTATTTGGTAAGAGCTTCTTCTGTTTCAAGAAAATCTTGAGTTGGAATTGACAGTACAGTAAATCTCTGTAAAATTCTCCCATGACTCAACCCACAAACATAGATTAGGATACAAGATCATCACATTTATTGCTTTTTATTTCTTTCTATAAACTGGTGATGATTCACAGCATTTGAATGCATGCACTGAAAATTTTTAACAACTATACGCATAACACTTTCCATAGAATGTGCTTCTGAAAGTGAACACAAATATTTTCAATATATATCATACGGTGGGATAAAGCAATAAAGAAAACATCATTCTCTTATTTTGAAATTCCAATAAATCCAGATTTTTAACATAGCTGGAGTACCATCTGTCATGATAGAAACTAATTTTTTTCATATCTAACTGAAATTCTTCTTTATCAGATGTCAAAGATTCAAATTCTAAGCGGCAGTTTTTTAAGCCATGAATTTACAATGTTTCTGTACAAATTTGGAAGACCTTTAAGACTAAATATACCCAAAGTAGTCACAGGGCAGTGTCTCATGGCATGACTCAGCTAAAATTTGCTATTTTTCAAAATTTGAATTAATTTATCTTTGATAAGTTCTTTTATTCTATGAGCATTTGGTAGCTTAATTGAAAATTGCTCACTTGTTTTGAAATATCTTTTTAGTTTCTTCCTCATAATTTTCTAATAAAATTTTCACAACTGAAAAAATAATTTCT